TCTGGGCCAGATAGCCTTGTCTCTGCTTGCGTTGTGAAGTACCAAGATTGAACCAAGGGGGTGTACCTCTTTCTCTCCGGCCCGTGATGGTGACTCCTAGTCTCAGTTGTTACGTCGCATAGCGCGCAGAGGGAGTGGAGGATTCCAGAATATCTGCCGTTGATTTCTATTGACCTGCGGACCCCTTGGGGCCAGTTTATTTGAGTGTACCTTTTTAGGGTAAGTTAGCCTGCGACCACGGGAATCGACCGCGTCGAGTATTGTTGGATCAGGACAGACGAACGAAGGTACTGGGTAGAGAGAGATCGGAACGTTTTTTAACGTGAAGACAACAACAACAACAACAACAACAACAATGTTCCGGATCCATCCGGGGTAGGGAAATAGATAGCCCCCATCCAGGGTCCACCTACAGAATGCAAGCATTTCCTCCTCGTAGGGAGGGAGGGGGGAGCGAAGAGTGGTGAGTGTTGGTGAGGCGTTTGAGTTTGCATGTCATTGTCCGTTGGACGTTGACTGTTTACCTCTTTCGAGACGGAGCGCGAGGGGGCGAGGGGATGGGGGNGGGGGGGGGGGGGGGGGGGGGGGGGGGGGGGGGGGGGGGGGGGGGGGGGGGGGGGGGGGGGGGGGGGGGAAGCGGCGGCAGGTCTCGGCGGATTCGATGCCTATGCCACCCACAACATATCGAGAACGTGCTCACGAGGAAGCCGCATGGCAGTAGGGTATATCACGTCCTTTATCTCTCCCTGACACACCCCACCACCGCCGCCGCCGCTGCCACCGCTACTACCACATATCCTATGCACACCACCACCGGCGGGCGCCTTGCTCTTAACGGCAGCATTCTTCCGTGGCCGTGGCGGAGAGCAGCACTTCCTCCGGCAAACACACTGACCCTGTCTGGCAGGTGAACGAAACGCCTAACTGGATTATTCAGAGAGTCGGTCACGCTAAAGTTTTTCAGAGCGAACAGAGCACGGGCGGGGATGGGGATGGGGGGGGGGGCGCAGGGGTTCAGGGGGGGGGGCAGGAACGGGGTGAGGGCGGGGAGGAAGACGGCGGTAAGCTTTCAGCACCGTACAACGGTCGAAGGCGATCGATTCGTATGATGAGGGCCGAAACAGGATCTCGTAACCCCCAATACCGATGTCCCTTTATTGTGCATTGACCCGGATGATGAAACTGACGAACGAACAAGCATGTTGTCTCTCTTCAGAGGTCCAATTGTTGTTCTCATCTTTACCGTAGGCCAACGCCTGCAGCCGAGCAAGGTTTCTTCACGTCACGACACAATTTCCTACGTGTAAAAAGCAAGCCATCGAAGATGTTTCATGCTACACGCGCCGTTAATGGCGCCAGCTGGCGTTTTCGAGTAGGATTCCAGGTGGTTGTGAAACCGTACATGCTCTCAACTGCGTGACGACCAAGGTTCCAGTTTGTTTTGTCCCGAACTTGACCAGTTGTAGCAAACGCATGCAACCACCAAACGTAACTGATACAGGTCAAGTGGGTTAACAAAGGTGTGGAGCGAGGCGAGACCCTTGTGTCCATCAGCACCGACGGCCGGGTGGTGGAGTGGTCTATGAAGAAGGGTCTTAGTTTCAGCCCTCTCATGGTGCTCAAACGCGTCGGTGAGAGACAGAGCATGCTCATCGCGTTGTAACAGGAAGAGCGGGCTTGAAGTAGTGGAACGTGAGGCTGAGGCCCATTCTGTCGTCTCCCCCAGACTCGTTGTTTCCCTCGAATATTTACCTTGATCGAAGGGTACGACACCATCCGAGGGGAATACATGGTAGCCATTCGCCCCTCTACCGGCTCCCCTGAACCAACCCAACGAACTACCACAACCCAGTCACACACACACACGCACGCGGGGGAAACGTTTAACGCTCCTTCCAGGCAACACGGAAGGCGTGATATCTCGGCAGGCCAGCGGCCTATCGTTTGACTTCCCTCCCGGTGACGGAGCTACGTACTTCGCCGGCACTGAGGACGGCCTGATCCACAAGTGCTCCGTTAGCTACAACGAGCAGTACCTTGAGACGTACCACGGTCACACGGGCCCCGTCTACCGCATCCGGTGCTCGCCCTTCTGCGACCGTCTGTTCCTGTCTGCTAGGTGTGCGTGGGGGGTTCATCGGGCGTAGATGTCGCAGGAAGTGATACGAACGCCTTTGTATACAAGGGCATCTACACGGGGAACTCTTAACCTATCAGGGATGAACTACACGTAGTAGGTCCTAACCGCAACAAGTTCTCCGAAGCTTCATAACATAAGCTGTCTTCTCCACTGCTCTTCCCCTCCTGGACCCCACCCCCCCCTCTATCCAACCCTCCCCTATCCAGAACGACACGCTCACTGCACTTCTGTTACGTATCCCTCGAACGTTCTCCCAAATCAATGCGCCCCCCCACCAAACAGTGCCGACTGGACGGTGCGGATATGGGAAGAGCGGCAGACAACCCCGCTCCATACGCTTCGGTCGGTGGATCTATGGGACGTGGTCAACGACGTGGCGTGGTCCCCGACGTGCTCCACGGTCTTCGCTTCGGTCGCAGGGGACGGGCGAGTCCAACTCTGGGACCTGGCGCACTCTACCCTGGACCCTATCGTGTCCACAGATCCCAACGCCAAGAGAAACGACAGGTGAGCTGGTGCTACAGTATGTAGGGCCGGTGTAAGCCAACGCCAGGCAGTGGGTATAGTGGTGGTTTCTCCGTGTGGAAATGGTGTTCGCACGACAATTGTTTGAACTTGGGGCAATGACTTCTGGCGACTGGCGACTATGGCAAACCTCGGCAAAAAAGAGGTGTTGATTTTGGTCCCGTGGGGGGTCGCACCGTACGGTACAAGCACAGCTCTCCCGCCTGTTGCGGAAAGGTCGTTTGGGCTATCTTCGCCTTGATACTGATTTTCACGTACCTCTTCCCCCCACAAACTCCACAACGGTGTATCGGTACCCCTGATCACAACCCTTAAAGCGAAACGAAACCCGTCCGTCCATTGAAAATGCACGAACAGCTCACCTGGGGCTAGGTCGATGGACAACGGCGGTGGTGGCGGTACCTCTACGCTCGACGGGGGAGCGTCCGTAACGGGAGGAGGCGGACTGTCCCCGCAACCGCGGAACACAAACAACGCTGGGGACGCGTGGCGGTCTGAGTTGGGCGGCCTGTCCCCGAGGAACTTGCCGGCTAGGTCTCAGGGCTTGCCAAGCGGTAGCGGCAGCGGCGGCGGCGGCGGCGTTGGAGGGTTGGGTGGTCAGCCGGGGGTACGGCCACGAGGGGTGCAGCTTACGGCAGTCACGTTCGCGGCGAACGCTCCTGTCATGGTCGTGGGTAAGAGACCGATGTTGAGTTTTTCTCCAGTGACTTGTGCCCCCTTTCCAGTGAAACGGGAAGATGTTTCCTCGGGTTTAGCTAAGGAATAGAGGGCACCCTTAACGTTGCATTACACACTTTTTAGTGTATATGTCCAATGTTTCGCGTGGGGCGCATAACAGAACAGAGAGGTGCCTTGTCTGTGGAACATACTTTGCAAGAACGGCCGGCCGTGGCAGCCGGAGCTGACGTTGGCTGATTGGGCTAGTCACGTGCCCGTTGTGTGTATACTGTGTTCACATTGCAAGCTCGGTGATGCTGCCGTGTAAGGGTTTGCCCACATAGGCGGTGCCTTGTTTGACGTGAATGTCGTCGGCTCGACCGACGTCAGGCGGTAAGTGTTACAGATATGTGCCATATCATCGACAAGTAATTGTGTGTGGCTCCCATCCGCTATTTTGCACGAATTGCTTCACTGGGAAGTTGACAACTCTCGGTTGGTGGTTTCATCAAGAGAGATTGGGACAAAGAGGTGCCCTCCCTCCGACAAGTTCATGAACTACCAACGCCCAGCCTACATGCAACCCGCCTGTTGCACGCCACACACGCAGGAGATTCTCAAGGTTGCGTGGACGTTTACAAGATTGTCGGGCTGGACCTAACGCCGGACGTGACCCGCGAGGAGCAGGTGGAACGCCTTCGCAAAGCAGTCATAACCGCCGACGCGGAAAGATAATGAAGTCAATATTTGCGCACACTGTTGGGAAGGAATACCTCGTCGTGTGTGGATGGATGGACGAATGTACATGGACAATCTGAGCTCGTGATGCTACCCCCGCAGCAAGCTTGTAGCCTGCTTTGTGCCCCATGGTGGCCGACTTGGGTATACTCGGTCGCATGATTTTAGGGCATGTGACAAGCCGGTGTTTGGGGGGGATTCGTCCAGCATACTGTGTATATATGTTCAGACACCGGCAACCGTCGGGTTTTGACAACAGCGGCCCCGGCGGGTGCTGCGTCCTGCGCAACACCCAAAATGTAACAATGAAGCCCAGGGATATTGTTCTTGTTACCGTATCACTTTCTGGTTGTTCGTCCGTCACGGATGACATGATGGAAAGGTCACACGGGGCAGCCACAACACCGTGTCAAGCCCCAATACGCCGATCGGGGGAGAAGGCAACACCCATGCACAAGGGAAGCACGATGCACATGCAGGATACGGGCTCGTTGAGTACTTTTGTCCACGTGCTGGACCCAACGAGCGTGTGTACTTGACCGTCGCTGGGAGATATACCGCAACAAGAATTAAGGGAGCAACGTCGACGAACGGGCCACGGCGTCTCAACAGATTGCAGAGAAATCAGGCAACGCCGGCCACCGTGTTTGTGTGTCGTCTCTGCTTTCGTCCTCATCTATACACTGAGAAGTGTAGTACTCCACAAACGCTGAAAAGTGTAGTATACATCTCACCACGAAAAATGGGAGGACTGTCGCCATAATAAATAGGACGAAAACACACAAAAAAAAAATCTGGGCGCCATTCTACACCGTTCGGTGCGTGTTTGATGGGCTAGCTGGGGGCACACAGGAGTACGGAAGCAGTCAGCTTTTTTTCCCCTCTACGTTTCTTTGCTGCAGCAGCGCCGTGGCTCGTGGCTGCATCTCTTAACGCGAGAAGGGTGCAGCAATCCCTTCCCTCTAGGTTGTGCGTACCGCCCATGACCACGCGCTTGTTCACTTTATAAATGGCGACTGTTTTCATCCAGTTTGGTACGAAGTACAGGCAAATTCCCCAGAAAACCACCACCCTGACCGCTACCGCCACGTCTTCCGTGCATGCAGTCGTCTCATATCTTTCATGACGATCGGGCCGCCGCTTGCCCACGGCACACATTCGCGTACGAAAAAGTGGTCAAAACCAGGAACATAAGTGAAAACAACGCGAGCAAGCAAGGCAGCCCTGAGACCCGCCTACCAACTACCACGCAACATCGACAAACGGATCGAAAGTCTACGGCAACGAGGTACAAACGCGTCACACCCTGTCTGACCAGGTCTACAGCGCAAAAATAACACAACTGGAATTCTGCCTACACTTGCCATGCTTTTTTCTCATGAAGGTACAGCAGCAGCCTGTTGTACGATCGCGTCAGCACCGCTTTGTTCAGCGGCAGACCAGGGAGCCTCTCGTTCACGACCACCACTGATCCATCGCTCGAGTCTCCTCCCCCTCCCCACACTGCCCTCAATATCGCTTCTCGTCCTGGAACTCCTTCCCTGCCATCTGTTGTTCCTCCCCCCTTTCCTCCATTTTTTGCCCCTCCTCCTCCTCCTCCTCCTCCTATGCAGCCTGCCCGGCGAGCTTCCGCAGCTTTCGAGCGAAACGCGGCTGCTGTGGCCACGGGCGGCCGAGCGCTTCGAGCGCCTTCCGAACAGCTCTCCATCGCCCTCAAGACGTCCTGCCAGTCTGCCGTCTCTAGAGGAGGCGGCGGCGGCGAGATTTTCTGCTTGTCTTCTGCCAACGACGACGAAGACCGCGCTCTGAGACGCCGGAGCCGGTCGCCCAGAACAACGTGTAGCGCGGCGTCGATTATCCCCTCGCACTCCCTCCCAAGGCAAGACAACAGGCCAGGGTCGAGCTCCTCGCGCGCTGTCCCGCAGCCAGCTGCGGAAGTGGCGGTTGTGCCGGCGGCAGGTGAAGCAGCTCCGTCCTCTGCACCATTGTCGACCGCTGCTTCAGGCGCACGGTTCCTCGGTTCGAAGCTGTCTCGGGCGCGTCTCCTCGCCCTGTTCCACACTCGTCTGACTGTCTCCTTCGCCGGTTCGGACACAATCCAGCCTTGCCGGTGACAGCCACTATTGTCGCCGTGATCATCGTCACCTCTCTCCGCGTTGACACCGCTGCGGGCGGTGTCCCAGCTACGCTTTCTCCGCCTCCCTTCGGCACCGCCCGTCGCTACCCTACCACCGCCTTGGTCGCCTTCTTCCGTTAGACTCGCGAGCACGCCGTGTTGATGCTGTGTGCTTTTCTCTCCTTGCTGTCGCCCCGCCTTCCTTGTTGTCGTAGACGCCACCATCCGACGAACGTACTCCTCCTCTTCTTGGTACGACGACGGCAGGGCAGCGTCAGGGACGACGCCCGCATTCTTTTCATCACCATCGCCGTCCGGTCCGAACCTGGCAGCCATCGCAACGGCTGCGCGTCGTTTCTTTGTGGCGACAGTAGCGCTGTCCTTCTTGTCCATCTGGAACTCGACCCAGCCCCCGTACCGGGCAGGAAGCAGGGCCTTGACGACCCCTCCCTCAGCCGTGCTAGACGGCATAGACGAGGGCACGGCGGGGGGCGGCGGCGGCGGCTCCGGAGGCGGCGGGCCAACGGGGCTGGAAGCAGGATCGGAGCCAGAGATAGAGGTTTCTGCTGCCGCTGTAGCAGCAGCACGCGTCAGCGGCGGTCTTTTTGGCCATGCTTCGACCCATCGGCCGCGCCTGTCAGGTACCAGCCGTTTCACGGGAGCCTCCTCGTAACGTTTGTGCCCGTGGGTATAAAAGGGAAACTCTCGCGTGAGAAGCTCGTCGTGGATCGAGCCTTCGCTAACGGCGCCGACTCCACCGACGCCGCCGTTGCGACCAACACCACCCACACCGACCCAGTAGCGCGAACCAGAACTGGAACAGCCGACATCGCCACGACTGCTATCACCTCTACTGCCGTACCCGACAGGGTCTCGGTAGAAGCTCTGACCCTCGTGGTGCCGAAGCCTAACGGGCCAAGTGCCCCACGGCAGCACGTCGCCGCCGCGGATGACTCGCTCAGGCCTCATGTGTCCAGCCGTACAATTTCCGGTTGAATAGTTCAAGGTGCTGTGGATGGCGGCGCGGATCCCGATGTCCCCTGGCCAGCGCTCCTGTCTCTCGCTGTGCGGCAGGTGGTAGGGCGGGCGAGGGACGAAAAGCTGCAGGTCCTTCTGGGCCTGCGCGCGGAGCCTCGTGGAACTGGCGGCGTCGTGGCAAAGCCACTCCACGGGTGCCGGAATGTCGACCTTATCCACCTCTCGCTGGTGCCGATTCCTCGAGAAATATGCGCGTCTGAGGTACCTTGAGGTGTCTCGGTTGTTGTCGACTTCGACGCGGCCGTTCCACCCCTCGTCGGGCGTTGGACCTAATTCGTAGCGGAAGTACTGCTGCTGCTGTTGTCGAGGTGGTTCTGGCGGCGGCATTGCGGTAGGCAGAGGTGGTGATTCTATCGAGGACGTGGCGTCCTCCGTGACCTCTGCATCCACCCGCGGTCGCTTACGCCCCATCACGAACGGCGGTGTTGTTGATGGTGGCGTGCGAGAGATCTGGTCGTCCGTCATGCGGCGCAATTGGCGAATGCCGGGGGCTTCGTAGATCATACCCCCCCCCCCCGAATTCGCCATAGATGTCCGGAGGCGCCCCACCGCGCCATGCACGTTGGTAGAGCCCTGCAAGGCACACCGCAGTACTGCAGTGGAGAGACGCCACTCGCACAGGCGCCTGGAACAATAGATGGTCAGTATCTTGCTACGGGGTCTGTCAAACCAACCACGGCGCTCGCTGTTTCGAAGGGGAAAGGTTTGCCGACGACGGGTGACTTCCCCGCTATCCTCTCCGAGCTTGTTGCACGCCGCGTCTGCACCACGGGCAACGATGTCAACGCCAGCAACACCGACAGCAGAGCACTCAGAGCCAGGAGTGTTCAGCACCATTGTTGACTTTCGTCGGGCGAGAAGGTTGGCAGTTATGCAACTGCAATTGTGTGGTAGCTCATCACAAACGCCATACAACTCCAATATGCAATGTGCAAGTTCATGGTCCCATCCTTGGTTTTGCAACGTACGCGCTCTGCCGTCGATGTAGCGGTTGCCTAGAATTCAAGCTAATCAGGCGGCTATGTAGAGGGCGGTGCATGACGATGCTTGATATGCTGTCCTTGTTTAACTCCTCCTGCTTGTATGTGATGATGCTAGGAGTAGTCTGGCAACACATGCTGGGAAACTGCGGACAGCAATGTGTCCTTGTTGTAGCTATCCCATGTGGCATGATTCAAATTCAAACTGTGGTACAGATTAGCGATTTTGCTTTGGGTTTAGGCAAGTCTCAGGGGTGGTCCGGCTACGAGGCTCGCTGATTGATTGCCTCCCATGTGCTCGATATCATGCACCGGTGGGTGACGGGTATGCACCGCACTCACGTAAGGATTTCATGCATAATTCCGAGGACGTCCTTCCCGATTCCTCTTCGAACAAATCATCCATCTGACGGCGCGGTAACAACAATGAAGCAGATCCACCGCCGTTCATCATTTGTACACAAGCACCCGCAAACCGCACGAACGCACGCAATAAACTCGACAGGAGCCTCCCACACGACGCGTCGGTGGGATTCGTGCCGACCATGGGCGCCCTGCACGAGGGCCACTTGGACCTCTTCCGGAGAGCGAGGCGGGAGTGCGACATTGTAGTGGGGTCGGTGTTCGTCAACCCTGCGCAATTCGCTCCACATGAGGTGGGCGCATCTCTGAGCCACGCGTGGTGGTTCATTCGTTTCTTGATCCTCGTAAATGGTCGTTGTGCCAGCAACTGTGCGCAATAAGCCAGGGTAGTGTAACACCCAAGGCGTTGGCTGATCATACCGTCGAGCTTCTAGCTTTTCCTTCACAGTTGCGTATGCCTACGAAAGCAAACTTACAGTACCGGAGAAAACAGAAGCGCGATTTGTGCTCGCGCGCCCTGGGTGCTCCCGCCCCCCCCCCCCCCCCCCCCCCCCCCCCCCCCCCCCCCCCCCCCCCCCCCCCCCCCCCCCCCCCCCC